TAATAGAGCTATAGTAGATCCTTTTCTTTTTAATAGCTTATCTGTTTTAGTTGTAAACATTGCACAGAGCTGAGGAGTATGTTGATTACCAATTATTCTTAGCTTCTCATTTTATCAGTGAGGGGAAAAAAGAAAAAAAAAAAAAAAGCCTTGCCCAAGATCACAAAATTTGTTATTGACTAAGTCAGGACAGTGACCTGGTTTTCTGGCTCCCTGTCTATACTTTTCTGTCAAACTCCAGTGGGTCTCTCGGAGAAGCACTCCCTGTGGCCATTAAGGTTTGGGTGAGAGAAAAGGGATAGGAACTGCTACAGGGTGGATGGTAGGAAACTATTTATTTACCTTTTAAAGGGTGAATATGAATTTCTTTTAATTCCTTTTTCATGTTGGAGGTAATGCTTAATCTCTTTCTTTAAGAATGAGTCAGGAATCCGCCTAGGAGGCAGGGTCAGGAGGGACATTAGATGGAAGCACAGCTCCTGTCGTCATCACACAGGTGTGGATTTGAGAGGTGGTGATGTGTCTAGAGAAGTAGGTGGGGGTTTACTGTATAGGCCAGAAGTCCCCAAAGTTTGATTTCATTTTGCTGGAAGACACTTAATATGAATTAATTATTTTACTTCTGGTTTTCTGTCTTGGTAGACATCTGCTCCTTTTAAGGAAAGTCCAGCACCTTCCGTGAATAATACTTGTGCTACATCTGAAGATTCCTTGGCCCTTTACAATAGAGTGGCTGTTCAAGGAGATGTGGTTCGTGAATTAAAAGCCAAGAAAGCAGCAAAGGAAGACATAGATGCAGCTGTAAAACAGCTTTTGTCTTTGAAAGCTGAATATAAGGAGAAAACTGGCCAGGAATATAAACCTGGAAATCCTCCTACTGCAGTAATACAGAATATTTCTTCTACATCATCAGCAAGTATTGTGGAACATAAATCTCTGTATGATGAAGTTGCTGCACAAGGGGAGGTGGTTCGTAAGCTAAAAGCTGAAAAAGCTTCTAAGGTCAGTATGGTGGAGTGAGTCAAGACCACATTTTAAGTAAGCATGTGAATTCACACTGCTCGTGGTAGTCTCATCTTCTTATAAACAAATTGTTTATAGACTGCTCTAATATTTTGACATA